CTCTTCAAAATAATGAAGACATTAAAAAACCCAGTTGCTGGAGGCTAATGGAGGATTAGCTACATGTCCAGTGTAAAATAAAATATATGTTTTGAAATGTGTAATTGACAAGTAACACCGGAAGTAAGCATTCAAGGAGACTTGCAAAGAGTCTTTTGTTCATGTTCTTTGAATTGGAAACTGGACTTCTGCAAAACAGAAGCTTACCTAGAAAGTGCAGGATACTTGAGAAAATAAGAGCTCTGCATAACACAGGAATCCAGGAAGATGGCATAGTATTCCACTGTGGTTTAAATTCCATGCAATGCTAGGTTAGTATCCAATCTTACTGTTGTTTATGGGTGGGTAATACTGGCCTTTTCTGAGTAATGTGTAATCACCTTCTGAAGCTCCTGATGTCATTCTGAGCAGTTGCATGGTAGTATCAAGTTGCTGCAGCAGCAGTAACATGCCTGAAGCCAACGTGATGGACACTGAAAATTATGTATGAACGCAGTGCCTGCCCACAGAGCAGTCTAGTATTTCTCATGCAGGAATGAGGGAAAAGGAATGAGTAGCTGTTTCTACTGGCTCATTTCTTTCAGTGACCAGAACTAAAACTCAAAGCTCCTGCTGAGTAAGGTCTCATGACTAAAACAAAACACTTCATTAAGAATCAAAAACCTTAAAAAATGTTATACAAAGTCACTACTTGTAGATCAAGAGGAAACACTAGACTTTTTTAAGAAGAACAAATGTTTGAGGACTCTTTGAGCCCTCAGGAAAGCACAACATTGACTAATGAATGTGAGTAGTGAGTGGCAGTGGGTATCTTGGCAAAAGGAGAAACACAAGGGCACTACATGCTCACACAAATTTTAACTACATTCACCTTATTACAACTCTTTAAATGAGTACTTATAAGTCTCAAGTTGATTGAGGAGTCAGAAATAAGTTCACTGTGTGCTCTTTGAATATGGCCAGGTTGTGATGTAACCAGGCTATGATGTCTTCTGTCATGACAATTACTTTTGCCTTCAGAGTAACAGTCTAATTAAGGATGGACAATATATGATGAATCATTGAATACCTTTTAAGATTTTTTTGTAGAGCTACTGAAAATTCTAGGAAGTATCTTTTGTGTAGATAAAGTGCGGTAGAAAACCATGCAAAATTGAAAACAAACTCCTTCACTTCATCTCAGAAGTCTGCTCCTCTCTTTTTAGTTCAAAGGAAACAAGATCTGTAAGTCTGAAGATTGTTATTTGTAGCCATTGGTCACGAAAGTTGCTCTCCTACATAAGCCAGCCACAAGCACAATCAGAATAGATAAAGAAGATGAGAGAGAAAGGGGTCACAATGAGTGAGGAAAGAATGGAAACTCATGAGTCTCCACGTAGAGACACAACCAATACTCTTGATAAATGCTACACTGTTAATCCATTTGTTTATTCAGAAAAGAAATATTTGTGCATTTTGATACTAGAGTAGTATGAGGGGAATAATATGACTATGAATCCAATTTTTATCTATTATTACACTCATTGTTCTCCATGACTTCATTACTTGAAATTTTTAGCAAATTTGCAATTTTCTGTTAAAAAAGCCAAAAAATAGAGCTTGGGCATCCTAATACAGAGTCCTTTAAAGCTGCACAAAACTAGTCAAAGAATTTTCGGGTCTTCTCTCTCCTTCTGAATGATCTCCTCAAACTACATTACTGTAAACATATCACACTAGTGTACTGCTTTTTGCAAACCTTTTTATTCTTTAGGATGTCTGGAAGGCATCCAGGGAGACCAGCTAAGATAGAAGATATTTCACACACTTCTGTCATCATTTTCCAATGCTGACCATCACGTAAACAAGTAAAACCAAACTGCTCTTTGATGTGGGAGTAAGATGATAACCCAGTATGACCATACAGTAGTAATGTACTATATTATTATATTATATATACAGTATAATATATCAAAGACACATAAAGTGACATATTCAGTATTTTAATAATCATGCATGGGCTCTAATGACATCAGTAACTCTGTCTACAGTGCATCTATCAGACAAAAGCTGTTACCACCTTATTTGAAAAAATGTATTGATTCCCCTTTACACTTGTAATAAATAAATCACTGACATAATCTAATTAAGTAATGGAGTAAATGTGCATTTCTAAGACAATTTGATGCATATGTCAAGAAGCATTTTAAGGTTGACATAACTTTGATCTCAAAACTACAGTTCAGGTACCTTTATGTTTATTATAATAATAACAACATTTATTCTATTTCTATAATAATTATTATATATATATATTTTTAATGTAATTTTCTTGTGCAGATTATTCCTGTGAGGTGAAATAAGTACTAATATTCAGACTTATTCCTCTGAGTAGGGGTACAATTTTCCTAGTTCTCTCTTTAGTGAATGCAGGGAGATGGGTGCCCACTCTGGGACAGGGCACCTTTGGTATTTCTTAGTAGTTTTAATATGAAACTCTGATCTGGGTTCATATAATAAAATCTCACTTAAAACACTCTGAAAATGAAAATGCATGCTTTTTTCCTTGCTTTTCTACTCATTTTCTATTGCAATATACTTATTGCTAGCTCTAATCTGAGCTTTCTATGTTTCTTCAGTATCACCATTAACACTGTTACTTCTCCTCAGTTCCTTGCTTCAATGTGTATTCTGAGATCTGTAAGTTACACACTATATGACTGTCCTCTCAAATCCTTATTAATCCAGGACCAATTTTAAAAAGAGTTGAATTCTTAAATATGCTCCAGATGTAGATGGAAATTTAAATTTTGAATATAGCAACTACTGTACAAATGACGATTTAAAATAAAAGTTCATCTTCTCAAAGTGTGGAATCCAAATTAAATACAGACTTCCAGGTGTTTCTGGAATGCCTTTTTTCCCTTAATATGTTACAGTTTCAGTCTTCAGAATGTATACAACATGGCTTTTAAGTCTGAATAATATGTTGGAGGAAAAAATATTAGCAAGTTACACACTCAATAATATGCTTTAATCTTCAAAAGACAGCCCATGAGAAAAGCAATAACTCCATATAATGTGAAAGATTTGGAGGATCTGCTGAAAGTAGAACAGAGGAACATGACATCTATAATTGAATAAAAAGGAGAATTTAATAGCCATTAGATGTGCACTGTCCTGTTTGTCATAAAACAGAGCAGAGATCTTGTTACAAATGGTATGTTACTGTGTAATTAAATGTATTGGAAATGCAAAAGCACATGGGAGTTGAATTAAGACTGCCAACGATGTTGTTAATGCTTGGGCGGGAGTGGCCAGCAGAAGGAGTATTGTTGTGAGCATTTCACTGCTAGAAAGATAAAGACAGATGCTGAGACTCCGGTCTGCTGTTCCCATTGTTTGGCTCAAGGCAGCTGTGTGCATGGCGAGATTACAAAACCATCAGAGCTCCTGTTTTTATAGAGGCTGGAGTGGGACAGCAGCTCAATGCTGTGTGTGAGCAGGAAAATGTCCACCATGAAAGTATCAACTCACTAATTCCTACTGCAAAATGGAAAAAAATTAAAAGTATTTCCAAATCCATTTATCCACCCTTAAATATAATACAGTGTGTTAACTCCGAATTCTTGCATTGAAAAATGGAGAAGTTCTCAAAGCGAATTTTCTAAAATACAAGAATGTTTATAACTATTCCTAAAGGAGAATCTGTCTTTTTGCAGATTCAATACTCCACAGAACAACTCTAAAATATGCTAAAAGGGGATACACCTATCTTTTTGCAGTATCTTATATATTTAATTGCTTAACCGTAATAGTCATGGTAATTATAAAATCCTTAATAACGACGTTAATTATGGTAGTAAGTGTTCTTTAATAACATATTCATCGCACAACTTTGAATTCTCCATTGCTACACTGACTTTTTCCGAACAGATTCTCAATCCTTAGTGAGAAACATAAATAAACTCAGCTTTCATATATTTGTGTTCAACTTAAATGGAATTTAGTACTATTTTTAAAACTTAAAAACCAACATAAAACAGCTTTGGGGCCTATGCATAATGATTCATTTTTTTTCAAGAGCTAGTCTTCTGTTGGTTTTATTTCTATTATTGGAATCATTAAATTAGCCTTTAAAAAGTCACTGTAGTTCACTAAGATCAATGATGAGAAACACTAAATCTTGTTCCTTCTGATATTTTAACTGTGATATTGAATAGCAAGATGCCTAAATAAACCAAGAACTACTGAGATCCAGCTTCAAAACTGCAAACTGGGCACACACTTAATTTGCAAAAACATTGAAATGCTTGAGTCTTAATATCCTTCTGAACTTTGAGGAACATATTACATTATAAATTTACAACACTGAATTAATTCTTGTGATATCATAATCATAAATATATTTTCATCTGTTCTAATGAATTATCAAATTCAATAAGTCAGGGAAAATGAAAACAGAACGTGGAGAAACCAGTCATCAATTGCTTAATGATATTAAAATTCTAAATAACCAAAGGTTTATTTAATGTATTTGGCATATTCTGCCCCCCTAGCCCCCTTGACTGTATCATATATGTTGTACACGTATGTTAGGAGCTGACACTTGCATAATGGCATTAAAATACCTGGGTCAGTATTACTGGTTTCTGTCAATATTTTAGATAATGACCTTAAATCCATATCTTTATATATCTTAGATGTTGTAAGGTATAGTTCACCTCTTCTAAAGAAAGGAAAACGGAAAAGTTTTAACATTATTTCATCTAAAATTACAGCAGAAATCCACTGCACAAAACACAATACAATACATCTGTGCTGCCAGTCATTAAAACACTTTAGATGGTTGAAATTGTTAAATCTCCTTCAACTGAAGAGAAACTCAAGTGTCAGGGCTCAGTTTGTTGTCAGCATGCTTCATACTCAGCTGCTACCTTACCATTTTTTATTAGTGCTTGGGCAGAAGTGGCACATCAAGCTGTTAGCACACTCACCAGCTGCTCAGCAAGTTTACTCACCCTTTGACCTTCTTTGCCAGGTGGACCTTGGGGACCCTCCAGCAAACCCTGAAAATACAAACATTAAACGATTATAACGTTCAGTGCTATTTTCATCCTCTATTTTTCTACACAAGTAAGACTAGTCCAAAGATCCAGATGGCAAGACAAGGCATTTATTTCTAACAATAAGGATTGGTTATTCCTAACAATCCCTTCAATGTTATATGAAGGTGCAAGAAAAAGCACAAATAATAATTATTAATCACATTCCATCATATAAAGGCAGCATCCTTTGGAAAAGAAGTGGTAAATCAGCACGAATTGAGCATACTTATATTTAACTACAATATTAATTGAAAAGTGATTTATCTTGTTAATTTAGGATACCATAAAAAAATGACAAAAAAGGTATTTTAAATGAAAGACAACTTATTCTACAACTCAAATACAGGCACTGAAGGGGGAGGGGAAGTCAGGGAAAGGGAGCTAAATATAGCAGAAGGCCTTATGCTCGCTGGATCCTAAGAACCAGCACTGTGCTGCTTCCTCTGCATATCTGGCTTGGCTTTCCAAAACACTTCAGTGTCTCTTCTCTCTCTCTCTCTCCTGAACAGGCACAGGAGCTTTGAGTGTTTGAATATATCCTTGAACTGTGACCCTTCCTTCTGAACTCAGCATGAGGATCTGCCTTTTTCAGTCACAGATAAAATCACAGACCAGTTCTGATGCTTTGAGGCTTTAATTTTATGTCTGATTAATGTACAGTATAATCATAAAGCCTTCATATAATATCTCAGAACAACTTAGAACAGTCATTCCCCCACTCCCTCTTTACTTCATGAGTCACCTTGGAATACAATTAAAATTACTTTGAGGAAGCAATCCAATTTCCATTATAGCAACAAGAAATGTGAAATAATTTTCAATGTAATCAGCAAAGAATATGTAACAGTCCTGCACTGTATAATTTAAAAAAAAAGCCTTGCATGTTACATTGTGTATTCTTACAGGATGTCACAAGATTAAAGAATTTACATTTTGTTTATTTAAGACTTTGAAATATTAAAATTTAAAATCTTTATAATTATTCAGACGCATGTATTGCTTCAGCATGAGTTAGATCTTTGGTCAAACTTAAATGCCTTACTTAGAATCAATTACATTTATTTATTGACCCAATAAGGGTGAACTGAGATGCTCTGACAATCATGACTTTTTTAAAGCACCCAGGTTTCTAGAAATGAATTTAAGAATTGAGTTTATGATCTCTAATTCCCAATATAAACATGAGAAAGTTAGCAGGCATTCCAAAGCTACTAGCTCATACATTTTCAAGTAATGTTTTAAGTTGATTAGAATGCAGTCTGATTTCAATTTTAAAAAGAAGTGGTCAAGAGCTTTTCCATTTCTACCATTTCCCTACTTTCAAACACTGAAGCTAAAAATATATCTCAGACAGTATTTCACTATAGGATATTTCTCCTATAATTTCAGTTTATTATGTAAACAGGATAAGGTGTAGGATCTTTTAAAAAGCTGATGCAACCATTTCCATCTTTCACCATAAGTTTATGGAGCTAAAATATGCATGTATTTGTTGTGTCCAACAAATAATATCACAGTAAGTTAAGTACAGTGCAAGATATGTAGCTTATACATACACAAACCCATAAAGCAGCATGACAAGGTGACCTCTGTAAAGCTTCTTTACTTTCTCATCTAGGTAGTGTGGAACTTGCAGTGTTCTGTCTAACTTTTAGCAATATTCTAAATCTGAAAAGAAATTCTGGGAATTCAGGAAGAGATGGAATTTTGTTTTGTTAATTTTTCATTTTAGTGACAACTTTATGCAGGGGAATGAGATGAAAACCTGTAATGTCTGTTTTATGGGGGAGGAAATACTTGGCCTCACATATCTGTACAATAAGGCTCCAAGGGGACAAGACTCACACAGGAATGTAACTGCACAATAGTGATAATTAATAGCCAACATTTTTATCCAAGGAGTACTTTTATTCTTTTTCTTCTCTCTACAATATTATTGTCAAGAAAAAGGAACCAGATAAGGAGATTTATCTTCAAGGAAAGGGAGGAGAGCTGTGTACAATTGGTAACTAGGCAGGGAGGACTCCCCTGTACAAGGAGCCACATCCTGATATTGAAACTGAGGTAAAAGTTCACACCAGCTTCAGTGGGATCTTCCGTTTAAAAAGTGATAGGACAACACGGGCCATGTTAACTAACACAGCTCTAAAACTGTAGTAACTTGGCCAAAGTAATGACTTAGCAATGCTATCTCTGCTCAACATTCACTGGAAGGGATTGTGGAAAAATAACTGCAGACGAAACCTGCAGGGGAAATGAGAAAGAAACCTTCTACAGTGAATTATGTCTAAACAGATGAATAAAAATCTACTATTGAACTCCTATAGAAATTGGCAATGAACAGAAATACATGTTTGTAGGAAGGCAGACTAAAGTGTCTACTTAGGTTCCATTCCTATTTAATTTCTGGAGATCTTCCTTTGGAGAGCAAAGATCAGATTTGACTCCCTCCAACCATGGATAGCACAGAGGTCAGAGGAACCCACCACCACAGATAAAGGGATAGAATATAGACTGAATATACATATCTCTATCTATCTATCTATCTATCTATCTATCTATCTATCTATCTATCTATCTATCTACCTATCTATCCATCCATCCATATGGCATATGCTGTGGATTGTGTTCAAAACATGTATGTCAGAAAGCAATTTATTCTACAAGTACAAACTCCCCAAGTAAACAACAGCCAAAGATATTAAGATCATAGAACAATACAATGGTTTGAGTTGGAAGGGACCTTTAAAGATCATCTAGTCCAACCCTCCTGCAATGAGCAGGAACATCTTCAACTGTCAGACCAGGTTTCTAAGGGTCCCAACCAATCTGGACTTGAATGTTTCCAGAGATAGAGCATCCAGCAACTCTATGGGCAATACATTCCACTATTTCATCACCCTCATTGTAAAAAAAAGTGTTATTGTATCTAATCTAAATTTACCCTCCTTCAGTTTAATACCTCCTTCAGTCTTATCCCTTGTCCTAACTCAACGGGCTCAGCTAAAATCTGTCCCCGCCTTTCTTATGGGTGCCCTTCAGATATTGCAAGACAATTGAAATCATTCACTATGCATCATTGCCACTCCAATACTTTTGAATTGGCAAGAGCATGGCTATGGTGATGAGCAGAACAATGTCTAGGAACAGCACAAGGCACTGTGAGGTATAAAACCAGCCTATTTGTGTGACATTAGGCTGGCAGCAAAATATGATTCTTCTAGGTTATCTAACACACCTAGGATTTTCCTGGCTCTGCCAGGCAACATTTGAGGCTGAAAGGTGGTAGCTTTCTACCTACTTCATGAAGCAGTGAATTAAATTAACATATACAGTCTATAAAGCCTGTTCCTGCCATGGACCAAGCAAGCCCCTTGGAGTAACACACCTGAAGGAGCTTGAGGAACATGAAGTGTAAATGTCTCAAACATTACCATGTAGCTTGAGCAAAATAAAATCCAGGAAAATGGAGACGTTCTTAAGTGCAACTGAAACTTAGAAAATCTACCACCATGTGTGAGGGTGGCTATGAAGAGAAATGATACATGATGCACTGGTAGGCACAAGAGGGTTGTACAAAAATTGAAAATGAAGAGCAGAAACTTGTGAATCCCTTTGTAAGAGGAAAACCATAAAGAGAAGTGTTGACAAGGGAAAATATGCTGGTTAGAACATAGAATAGAAAAAGCAACCACACTGTGAAGAACATGCAGACAGATATTTAAATGAAATATCATCAAAACTTAGTCTAAGTCTTAGTTGAGGGAAACTAGGAAAAAACAACAGGTTTAAAAAATGCTGCAGTAGAATAAGTGAGTTTTTAAAAGAATTTGTATTCAAAAATATCTATAGGAATTAAAATTTAAGTACTTTAATAGCTAAATTTTTTTGCAGGTATCAGGAGACAAAAACTAATAGGAATTATTTACCATGAGATAGTAGGAGAAAAATATGTTAGGAAGTTACAGAAAAATCAGTAAACTGTTCAGCCAGTTAAGCTGTTTTAAGTTTCTAAAGCTGTTAAAGTGTATGAGTGTGGAGCTATCAGAAGCCACTTAGTATAAAAGGGCTAAAATCCTGTCATGTGACTCTGCAGGTGCAAAAGCATTTTTAAATACCTGACACATCACAACAAGCATCTGCAGAGACATTGTGAGGCAGTGTTCATAAATTTAATAACTCAGAGAAAGTGCCTAAGAACATACTCTCAAAAAAAGCAAAGCTTTTATTGTAAACCCATGGTGAAACAAAGAACATTAAAAAAAAAGAAAAAGTCCCAGCTGAAGTGGAATAGTGAGGTTACTTAAAGCTGTTATTCATGTTAGTTTTCACAGAAGATTATGGTTGATGCCAAGAGAGCAAAATATTAGACAAGTATATATATTTTTGTGATTCTGAAAGTTGCTTCAAAACATAGCTGATAGTTTTTGAAGCAGAAGGGTAGACAGCTGCCTTATGTACTTGTAGGTAGCGTTGCTAGAATACAGTTCCTTCTCAACACAAATTAAATAAAATTCAAATGTTAGCAATAATAATGCAGGTATAATTAAGGCACAAAAATATCTTCATTTATAGAGTGGTTTGTGTATTTTATAAACACAAAGCTACTTTCATCCAGTTTTCCCTCACTATGAATTCCAGCCAACACATGACCTAAATTTTTACAGAATAAATACTACCAGACAGGGTGAAAATGTATGTTATTTAGTGAGATGAGCTAAACAAAGTCTAAATAAGGTATGCAGAAACACCTTATGATAATGTAAGAATAGGATATTTTTAATCATTTGAGTATGCAAGGTTTATAATGATAAAACTTCCTACTTCAAAAAGACCCAGATACAACAGGTATTATTTTGCCAAGGAATTTCAAAACATTATGCTGATAAACAGAAACGTATAGTTCCACTGGTACAACATCACTGCTGAAACATCTTTAAAAGCAAGCTGGTAGGTAATTC